TTTCTCTTGAGTTTGTCTTTTTAATTTGTAGGGTTCTTCATTTATTCTAAATAAAATCCTTTATAGATGAAGCACATTCAATTTTTTTAACTTTATTTATGGTGTCTTTAATTTTATAGATGTTTTAAATTGTGGTCAAATCTGTCTATTTTGAAAAATGGCATCTGTATTTGCATTCTTTGGAAAGCTCTCCCTCATCCCAAGATTACAAAATCATTCTCATGTTATTTCTCAGAATTTTCTTCGTAGTTTCTTCTTTTTAAAAAATATTTGGGCAGCCCTCTTTTGGGCTGCCTCCTGCTTGGAGCTTTTCTATCTTCTTTATAAACTGCTTTCTCAAAAAAAAAAAAGGTAACTCTTTTAATCTCTCTGGGATTTAGGTTTTGCTCTGCAAGGGTAAGTCCTTCTGCCTCTTCTTTTTCAGATTTCCTTGGATTTGCTCATGCTTGCTCTTTCAGTTATATCTAAAAGCTATGTCTAAAGCACCATAAGTATTCTTGGAATTTTTATTGGAATTGTCTTTCTGCTACGGGTTGTTGTGGGGGAAACTGACATTTTTACAGTGTTGAATATTTCCATCCAGAAATGGGTACATCTATTCATATCTCTAGGAATTATTGATGTCTATTGGCTTCTCTGTGTATTTCTACATATTTTTATAGTATTTTAATTTATAATTTGTATTGCCATTGTAAATTGGATCTTTTATCCTATTACATATCTTAATTTATTATTGCTGATATAGAGTAAAACAGGCCACCTTATGAAATATGAAAAATATGAAATATTTTTATTAATTTAAATATTTTCCATTGATTATCTCAAATTTTTCTACATAGACAGTTACATCATCTGCAACTTTAGTTCTGTGCTGTAAATGGATGAAAAATAATGCTACCTTTTTATTCTAAGAAAAACAATTCAGTTGAGTCATGAAGTGAAAATCAAGTACAGTCAAAAATTACCCTTTAAATTCCCTTGATTCACCCATTAAGTAGAATACACAATTCTATACAATAATAAGGCTAAATATGCATAAAAGTAAAGACTATACTGCAGAATGTAATTTTATAGCATTTTGAATTGAAAACATCAAGATGGTAGCATAAATTAATTTCTAAAAAGGCAACAGTAACTTGAACACGTAACCTTTCACCCTGGTTATTTTTGCTACTCTATTATGATTAGAATAATAGAAATAAAGCAACAAAAGATGATGAGGATGGTGGTACAGCATAATCATATGGTACCCATGTACTGAATGATAACATAATTCAGATGAGTAAAATACATAATTCCAATAATTTGTGTTTATTTTTTCTTGAAAACACTATCAGGACATTGCTATAACTTGGTGCTCCCAGAAGACAGTCAGTCAGCCGTCTTGAGTGAATGAGTGACTTGTGTTTGAATCAAAAGGTTATTTGTGTAGGTTCATCTGCTAATGATTTTTCCTTCTTACTGTCTTTTTAGCAGCTCAAATATTTCTTAGAAGGGTCTCAAATCTCCTTCATGTGATTTCGAGGCTTTATCCTATTGATAGAGCATATTCAGAAATTAAGTCATTTTGACCAGTACATTTAGGAAGATTTCCAATTGCTGACATTTCCTTTTAGTCATAATTTTTCTCTTCTTCCCATTTTCTACTTTATTTGTTAATATTTCTTTAAGGCCCACAGTTCTTAAATTTCTTCCTTGAAGCTCTGAACAAAACCATTTCTACTATTGACTTGGCTACCTTTCTCTTTTTGTCAAAGAGCAGGAAACTTTTCATATAACTTACTCTTTTTATTTAATTCCTACATGCTCCTACTATTTAGAGCTTACTTGTATCTGTGACTGTTTAATATGAGTGAGGCATTCTTGGCATTGTTGAAGGACTTCCCTCACATTGAGTATCAGGATCAACACCCACTGATGACTGTTGGTGAGACTCCGAAGTCTCATGCAAATAGTCTTGCAGCAGTGGGTCACGTGTTACTTCCGGGGCTGGGGGTGGAAGTGGTGTAGGGGTGGAAAACAGCTTCAGCAGAGTCACTTGCAAACTGGAGCGTTTTGTGTCCGGAATAAGGGATCGGCAACACTTTTAAGGCATGCCTTATTTCAAGTCCTTTCTGATCTGTGAAACGAATTCAGAAATAATACAAAAACTTTCTTTAATAAAAGACCAGATAGTAAAAATTTTAGACTGTGGTCTACTTGCATTTCTGTCACATATTGTTTTGCTTGTGTTGTTGTTGGGGGGTGGTTTTGTTTATTTTACAACCTTATAAAAATGTAAAAACCATGCTTAGCTCAAGGATCTTATAAAACCAGGCCCTCACTTTGCTTTTAGAAAAGCAAACCTATTTTGAGCAAATTACACTATCATAAAACGATATTGTTTTGCCCATAAAACAGTACAGCCTTGAGACACTGAAGTCTTGTCTAATGATGAAGTTTAAAGCATGGTGGCCCTTTCCCCCCTAGAAAAACCCCATTACGTCAGCATCTTAAAAGCCTGTTCCAGACATTACGGAAAACTGAAACTGGGAGAGGGATATATGGTAACTGTACTATCTTTGCAATTTTTGTGACTCTAAAATTATTGGAACATAAAAGCTTATTTTTAAAATCTTTTCTTTGTTTTTGAGACTGAACCTCACTGTGTTTCCCAGACTGGTCTCAAACTCCTGGGCTCAAGTGATCCTCCTGCCTCAGCCTCTCAAGTAGCTGAGATTACAGTTGTACACTACCACATCTGACTTTTAAAATCTTGTTTTAGAAAACAGCACTTTTGAGCTGGGCGCAGTGGCACATTCCTGTAATTCCAGGAAGCCCAAGGTGGGAGGATTGCTTGAGCCCAGGAGCTCGAACCAGTGTAGGCAACATAGCAAGACCTCATCTCTACAACAACAACAACAACAAATTGGCCTGGTATGGTGGTGTGTGCTTGTAGTCCCAGCTACTCAGGAGACTGAGGTGGGAGGGTTGCCTGAGTCCGAGATTAAGGCTGCAGTGAGCTGTGGTTGTGCCATGGCACTCTAAAATAGTGCTTTTCTTTTGGGAGTTTCTTTAGGTGGTTATGTTAAGATTGTTTGGTCAAAAAATTAAGTTAGGTTGTTTGGTCAAGTTAGATTTTTGTTTTGTTTTTATAAGCAGATGCAGCCTAACTACCAGTTTACACATTTTTGGCATTGATGTAAAACATTTAAGCTATCTTTTGGTGGCTTTGAGTTTCTGTTTATCAGAGGCTGCTCCTCTTTGGTAGAAAGTTTGAAAAGAGAAGGGAAGCCTGGCTTAAGCCTTTTCTTGCAACATCAATAGATGCACAGCTAAAAGTCATATTTCCGGCCATTTCTGTTTTCAGCTATTTCAATACATACATAGCTAAAAGTCATATTTCCAGCCATTTCAGTTTTCACTGAGGTCTTATGCAAATAGATTGATAGTCTAGCATTTGTTAGCACACATGATGCTACTGCACCGTTTAGATTTGTCTTTAAAATATATTTCAAAATAATTTCAAAACATAGGTTGCATACATCATATCACTTTGCCCTTAATACTTCACTGTGTATATTCAGAACAAAGATATCGTATATATGGTTATCAAATTCAGAAAATTTAAAGTTATATAACACTTCCAGTTTCATCAATTGTCTTAATACTGTTTTAATAGCATTTTTCCAGTATGTAGCACAGTCTAGGATCATATTTAGTGTAAAATATCCTATCTGTTTAGTATTCTTTAAATTACAATACTTCCTTAGTCTTTGTCTTTCATGACATTTGTCTCTTGATTCTAGATTTCTTGTTTTGGTGGTCATATTCAGGCACCTCATTTATGTGAAATATCCAGATTAGGTAAATGTATGAAGACAGAAAGGAAAGTGGTGGTCGCTGGATGCTGGGGGTGGGGGAATCACTGCTAATGGGTGTGACATTTCCTTCTGGGGTGATGAAAATATTTTGGAAATAGATAGAGGTGGTGGTTTTACCACAATAAGGATTTTCTAAATGCCTCTGAATTTTCACTTTTAAGATGGTTAATTTTATGTTATGTGAATTTCTCCTCTATAGAAAGTATTTTTTTTTAAGCAAGATTTATTGAGAGGACAGCAAAGCTCCCACAGTGGGAGGGGACCCGAGGGGGCTGCCCAGAAAGTAATTTTTAAAAAATCCTTATGTAAATAGTTTTGCTGCTCCCTGCCCATGTACAGACCATCGATTTCTCAGCAAATAAAAAACGTATTTAAAAAAAGCCTGTCGAATGATAGTTGCAATAACTTGTAAAGTTTAAAGAAATAAATGGATATTGAAAATTCTGATTTTTGGTGGGAGAGTTGACAGGAATCTATTATATTATCGTCACTAAATATTTAAGCTTTAATGTAGTATTCCACTTTTAAAATTCCACTATGTTTATGATGGATACAAAAGACAACAGTTATTTCAGATATTCTCTAGCCAATTTAGATGATTTGTTTATATTAAATGATAGGTTTTCTAAGACAAAAAAAGTGTCACATTAAGTTTAAACATTAAATGTAGTACTTTAAAATTCTAGGTCTGCATTAAGAAGCTGGGTAGCTTCTCTTTCTATGAACGTGCAGGTCCCAGGCCTTCCTATTACTTACTTTTCCACCTTCAAGGTAAGCTCCCTCACTCATTAGATGGAACTCACTTTGCTATTTATTAGATGTCACCCTGTTTCTTAACCTCTTAGTTTCTCTCACAAATGGGAGAATGCTTGGCCACTCGTGTGGGTAGAAAAAGTTTAAATATTTTGCAGTTTCTGCCAGATAGTTGGTGGTGCATAAGCAGTAGCAGTATTTGTTATCCATGACTATAAGATGTTTTCAGGAAGAGTCAGTCTCCCCTTCACCTTATTGTTATCCCTTCACAACTGTCACAACCTGTGGAAACATAAACATGTTTTGAAAACTGAAACCTGATGTTGATGCAGTTCTATCATATGTTTCTCATCATTGCTTTATTTGCTTTGTTTTTCCCAGGTGAAGGAAAAGATGTTATCCCGGTTAAGAGTAGTTACCACTCCTTGCACTTTGGTATGTCGGCATTTGCACATAAAAGAGAAGGGCAAACCACTTATGTTGAATCCAAGAACAAACAAGGTTAGTAACAATCATACTGATGTACATTTTCTGGTAAAGGCTTGACATGTTTTAGACTGATGAGGTATAGACCGTGTTTTGTGACTTTATGCTAAGATTGATTGTTCAGAGGTATTTGCTTTCTTTAACTTTCTTTAACATGGCAAAATCATGGCTGCTTTCTATTCCTAAATTTCATCCCTCACAAGCTCTGCCACCAGAAAAGGATTGACTTTGCTTCCCAGTTGTAGCTTTTTAAAAAAACTTCCAAGAACAGTGTTCTGGCCAGGACTTTTAGCCAGATGCGGGATGTTTAGATTTTCCCAGCTCAAATCAGGTACTCACCCTGGGCCAATCAGTCAGGCCCTTGAAAGATGAAGTCAAAATTATGAGATGAGCCTACATCTAAAGTCCAGCCACCCTACCTCCACCCAACATTTTGGACACAAACCGTTGCACACAAATAATTTTGCTTATTAATTAGGCTAATGGGACTACGCCGAAGGAGAGAGGCCTCTGACTCTCACTGTCCTCACTCTTGGGACAGAAGCGACAGGCAGCATTGAGCAGCACAAAGCAACACATGCTGACTGCTTGCCATCAGAACAGGAAGACGGAAACCACGGCCAGGCTTCAGAGAAGAGACTGCATCCTTTGTCTAAGCTGGGTTCAGTGAGCAAGTCCCTGTCTGTTTTTAGTGTCGGTATCAAACAGGAAGTAAACATAATCCTGGAAAGAGAGTTTTTAAATAGAAAGCCTGCAAGGGTACACACTGGGTTTATTGCAGTGTGTGAAATTTACCTTTTTGGGAAAGGTACATTCAGGTGAAAGGTGTGACTTATTTTAAAAGAGCATTCAGAAATTTGCTGTTCCCATTTGTTTTGTTTTTGGATAAAATAATTAATTATATAATCTGATAAGTTTTTAGGGGTTTCAGGCCCACAAAGGGAAATGTGACCGCAGGTCACACAGAGCACCTCATCTTTGCATTCTTGGCACCTGGCACAGAATGAGAATTCAGCGAGCAGTTAGTGAATTAGGTGACGCTTAATGAAGGATATTCTAATTCTCTCTTGTTTGTGTGACCTCCCCAAATCTTGATCTTCAAGAAGCAGCTCATTCAAAATTCAGTTCTCCTGTGGAGGCTTTTCACGCACCACATTCTGAGTAATTGCTTACTTCCCTGAAACCTGGTGGTAGTTTCTATCTTCCCATTCCTATGGCGAGGAGTCAGGATGTGTTGCTTTGTGCTGCTCTTCAAATCTGCAGCTGTTACTGAAATCATTGACAGTAGTTACATTTTTATGAGTTTTTATCTTCTTAGCACTATGTCAGGTTCTTTTTGGGCAGGGACCATCCAGATACTTGTTTGTATCTTTTACAGTGCTGTGGGTATAGTGCACATTTGATAAATATGTTAGTTTTGTCTTATTTTTTATAATTATGGAAATAATTTATTTAAAACCTACTCCAGGGATTTAGTTGTTATAAGAAATGTATAAAGCACACTGAGTACCCTTTCAAGAAAGGGTAGTCTAAGAGCATTTACAGTACTTCTATGAAGAAAACAAACGCTAATGCTCTGGTCTTCTGAAATCTCAGGTCGAATAGCACCTGTATGGGAAGACTTTGTTTTTGTTTTAGAAAGAGCATAGACCAGTGAATCCCAATTCATAGGGTGTAAACTCCTTGGGGACTTAACCATGTTAATAAATCAAGTTTGCGCTTCAAACATTGTAGACTGAATTAATAATTTTTCATATATTTGTAAATATTGTTGTTAAGGGTATGTTGCTGCTGTGATTAATAAAATAATATTTAAAGGCAGTGCTGAATTATAAATCTTTTAAAATGTGTGTAATGTAATCACCGTCTACTAAAGGTGTATACTTGTTAGGTTTATAAAACTTTTTTATTGTGATGAAGTAAGCATAATGTAAAGTTGACAGTTTTACCATTGAAAGGTATAAAATTCAGTGACATTCAGCACATTCAGTGTTGTTCAACCATCACAGCTTTCTAGTTCCAGACCTTCTTCATTATTCCAAGTGGAAACCTAGTCCCCATTGAGCAATCACTCCCGTCCCTTCCCAGCCCCCCAGACTTCTGGCAACCATTAATCTGCTTTCTTTCTCAGTAGATGGGCCTGTTTCAGTATGAATATAAAATTATTTATGGAAAAAACTTCAAAGAATTGGACATTAAAATATTAGGATGTCAGGAGAAGTTTAGGTGCTAATTTGAGCTCTGCCATTTACTAGCCATGAAATATTGGCACATCATTTAACCTTTCTCTGTCTGTTTTCTCAAATAAATAATGTAGGTAAATAGCATTTTGAAGCATTTAAAAGGCTATGCAAGTTAAAATTGGATTTCTCCTTTTCTCTCTGGGCTCATTCAGCTAATTTTTCTAATAATTTTTTGAAATTATCTTTGCATTCTTTTCTCTAGGAAGTTTTCACTGACCCTACTTTTCATGTCCTTACCTCACTGTATTTTTTTTTTTTTTTTTTTTTGGTGAGTGAGAAAGCAGGATTTATTGAGAGAACAGAAAAACTCCCAGAGTGAGAGGGGACCCGAGGGGGATTGCCCCTCACTGTATGTTTTTTTAGCATTCTTCTTCTTATGTCTTTCGTTAGTGCTTACCATATTCTGTTGGAATTGCCTCACACCTCCTTTGAGGGCAAGGACTATCTGTTGTTCTATATCCTCAACATCTTACCCCAGCATACTTAGCATTTACCTCTACTTGGTAGCCAGTGTACTGACTTGTGTGTTTTCTTTGAGCCTGTTTCATCTTTCAAAGTCTTAGAAAAGTAAGTTATATAGTTTTTCTAAAGTAAGAATAATTTTAAATTACATTAATTTTTTTCAGTTGATGGGCATGTTTTTTTCACATTTATGTATTGATTGTTATAAGACCAAGTTCATATACCAAAACAGTATAAGCTAATTAGAACATCTAATGTGAATAATTATTGATTTCTGATGAAACGACTTTGCCACTTAGTTATAGTTTTACCTTTCTAATACTGTTTCATCTCAACTCATTTTCAGAAATCTAAACAAGCATTTGACTTTTCCTAAACTACTTTATACTAATGGGGCATTGGTTACATAGTACCTGTCTATATTGCAGTTAAGGGAATGTATTTTCTCTCTTGAATACAAATGGATGCTATCTCTTGAATCACTTGCTTTCTATTTTCCATGTTTTATCACAAACCCAAATCAGTATTAGAAAGTATCTGAAATGCAGAGGCATCACACTGCCTGACATCAAATTATACTTCCAGGCTCTAGTAACTAAAACATCATGGTACTGGTACAAGAATAGACAGATCAATGGAAAAGAGCAGAGAGCCCTGAAGTAAAGCCACATACCTACATAAATCTGATCTTTAACAAAGCTAACAAAAATAAGCAATGGGGGAAAGGACACCTTATTCAATAAATGGTGCTGGGAAAACTGACTAACCATATGCAGAAGAATGGAACTGGATCCCTGCCTCTCACTTTATTTAAAGACTAACTCAAGATGGTTTAAAGACGTAAGTGTAAGACCTGAAACTATAAAATTTTAAAAGAAAAGCTCAGAAGCACTTTTCTGGACATCGACCTAGGCAAAAAATTTATGATGACTTCAAAAGCAATTATGACAAAAACAAAAATAGATAAACAGGACTTATGAAAAGCTTCTGTACAGCAAAAGAAATAAGCAACAGAGTAAACAGAAAACCTGTGGAATGGGAGAAAATGTTTGCAAACTACACCTCAAAGGACTAATATCCAGAACGCAAGGAACTCAAGGAACTCAACATAAAAAAAAGCCCCATCAAAAGTGGTGAAAGGCTATGAATAGGCACTTTTCAAAAGAAGACGAACAAGTGGCCAACAAGCTGAAAAATGCTCAGCATCACTAATAATCAGAGAATGCAAATTAAAACCACAGTGAGATATCACCTCACACCGGTTAGACTGGCCATTAGTAAAAAGTCAGAGCAGCAGATGTTGGCATGGTTGTGGAGAAAAGGGAATGCTTATTCACTGCTGATGAGATGGTAAGCTAGTTCAGTCCCTGTGGAAAGCAATATGGGGATTTCTCAAAGGACTAAAAATTGAATTGTCATTCAGCCCAGCATTCCCACTACTAGGTATCCACCCAAAGGAAAATAAATCATTTTATTAAAAGATGCCTTTATCAGTGTATGGAGGTTTTTGACAGATTCTCTTGGGTTTTCAAGGTACACAATCATGTCGTCTGCAAAGAGAGATAACTTGACTTCCTCTTTTCCCATTTGGATACCCCTGATTGCCTTCTCTTCTCTGATTGCTCGAGCCAGGACTTTGAATACTATATGGAACAGGAGGGGTGAGAGTGGGCATCCTTGTCTTGTTCCAGTTTTCAGGGGAAATGGTTCCAATTTTTGTCCGTTTAGGAGTATGCTGGCCGTGGGTTTCTCGTAGATGGCTTTTACTATTTAGAGGTATATTCCCCGTATGAGATACCACTTAACTCCAGCGAGAATGGCCATTATCAATAACTCAAAAAAATAACAGTTGCTGGAGAGGGTGCGGGGAAAAAGGAAAACTTCTACACTGTTGGTGGGAGTGCAAACTACTGCAACCTCTGTGGAAAGCAGTGTGGCGATTCCTAAAAGCTCTAAATATCGACCTCCCATATGACCCTGCAGTCCCCCTACTGGGAATGTTCCCTGGAGAACTCAGATCACTCTATCAAAAAGATACCTGCACACAAGTGTTTATCGCAGCATTGTTCACAATAGCAAGAATCTGGAACCAATCATTCTGTCCATCAAAAGAGGACTGGATTAAAAAAAAGTCCATATACACGATGGAATACTATTCAGCCATAAAAAAGAACAAAATCATGAATTTTGCAGCAACCTGGATGGAACTAGAGTCTATAATACTGAGTGACCTCTCACAGAAACAAAGATCTGAGTATCACATGTTCTCACTCATATAGTGGAACTTGAACATCCAACGTAATACTATAA